TATATATATATATATATATATATACATTTATATAGATTTATATACATACATATGTGTTTTAACATATGTCAATTTCTAAAATATTAGCAAGTAACTGTCTGAACTGTCTCTGTCCTCAATACGTTTGTAAAATTATGATATTTTAGCATTTATTATGATTTTTTATTTGATTCGAAATTTATTATAACTAATAATATATAAAATTCTGAGTAAGAACACATGTTTATGATATATATAAGCCCGTATTTACTGATTTGGTAAGAAAAACGAATACAACTGTTACAAATTGAGATATAATCACCAATTGAGATATTCATATAACCATATAACCGTATAATATATGTGACATAATAATTGTAATCGCGATTCAATTGAAAAAGTCATGTCTAACTCTAAATTAAAATCTTAATATTTCACTTGAAATGAATTTCAAGAAGTGTCTATTATTACAAAATTAAGGAGCATATAAAAAACATAAGTATTAGAATTTAATCAAATTGAGTAACCACACACGATTATTCTTTTATTATGGTCCAAAAATAATAGATCGTAATTGGTCAATTTTTTGCTGCTTCTCAATGTGGTACAACTTTTAATCACTTATATTATGTCTAAAGCTACCGGCATCTTCATGTTTTCGTCAAGAAAAACCGAGGAAACTTTAACTTGGCTAAGATATACATTTACCAAGTTCGCTCTAGAGTTCTTGGTAACTTGCTACTTCCACACGATATTCTCGCCCAACTGTGATATCACACGACGCGTTGTTGACGCCGTTTTACAATGTCTAAAGTTAACTTCGCGATCCCGGTGCAAGAACGCGGTTCCGACTGAACGGCCGACGCACAGCACACAAGCGTGTCGCGCGCACACTCAGCGAGGTTTCCCCACGGAAATGTAATTTTCTTCTCACCCGTGGCAATTTTCGCCAACGTCAACGCGTCGCAAACCGCGCACCGGTGGAAATCCGTTAACGACGCCACAGGTAGCCCTCGGCTCGCTCGTTGCCGTCATCTCGCGAAAGTCACAGAGCGTAAAAGTGACTTTTCACTCACCGTGCCTGGTCTCCTTCTGGCCGTGAAAGTCCCCGGTGTGATGGTCCTCGACGCCGTACGAGAATTCATACTTCGGATTCCCTACGTAGTCGACCGTGTAACCATCGTGATGGCGATGCTCGTGATCCTGGCCGTGCAGGTAGTTGTGCTCGCTGAAGTGGTCCACCACGACGTGCGGCACTTTCACCTCGTACTCCGGACCCTGCACCGGTCCGTGGAAGTGCATGTAGGAACTGGCCACCGAGCCGTGATGATCGTGGAGTACGCTGCTGTCGAGCGGTATCACGCCGGCGATTGATCGATCGACCAGGGCGAGGCCGATGGTTAGCGCGACGGTGACCTGTGACACCAGAAGTTTACGTCGACAGTGTCGCATCGCCCGGAGATTCACCTCCAGGCACGGCACGCTTCCGATATTCCGATACTTATCGATCACCGGTGTAGGTATAGCGCGAGTTATGAACCACCGAGTTAATCCACATAAGCAAATTGATATATCCAGTGGGACTCCAATTTCCGGCTTCTACGATTTTCCGCCTCGCCGCGACGTTCTCACTTGCGGGGGAGAAATCTCATGGACGGGAGTTTGCGAAATAAAGTCAACCGGGAGAAGGCACGCGGTTTGGAGAACTTCACGTGTTCCGACCAATATTCGCTCGCGTGTACAGTTGAAGCATTTCGAGCTAGTAAAATATTAGTGGCTCTAAAATGTGTTTCGATAAGTCAAGAGTGCACGGAAACGTAATCGCGACCTACGCGATCGATGTTATCCATATATGTACAAACTCGCTCGATTTTACGACGAAATTCCAGAAATATAGGCTACAGAGGCATTCAGCAATTGAATGACGACAGGGGACAGTTCGACGACCTCTCGTTTTTAATTACGGGAGTCTCCAGAGCCTGGCCGTCAACGTTCGTACTAACACGGACCAGTCTGACGGAAGTGGCTCGATTGAAAGGACAGAGTAGACGCGATTCGACGAAGGTCGTTTCTTTGTCCTTGTTTGACACTCCATGAATCTCCATGTCTCCGTTACAATTAACGTTATCTTTTAAAACTTATAACCCTTTATATTTGACTTAAAAATATTTGATATAAATATTTGATAAAATGAAGTGGAATTAATAAGTATTGAATTCCATTGCAAGAGAGACTACAGGATAGAATAAAATGGTCAAAATGACCGAAAATCCGAAGATCGTTAAACACTCAAATTCGATCCCAGATGCAGTATTGATGAGAACTGAATTGGAATTTTGAATCACTGATTTAATTGTTATGCGAATTTTGTTAGAATTGAAGTCTAGTGCGTACGTGAGAGAGAGAGAATTCAAATTAAGAATACAAATATAAAATGTAAAAATATAAACTACATGTCACAAGGCAGAATATATGCATATTAAGATGAATTATGTGAAATTTTACATACATAAACCGTTCTATGCAAGTTTGCGGTGTCAGACCTGAATATTTAATGCGTCTTTAAATATTTATCAGAGACTGTATAGAACTTTTATTTTTATAATTTCTGAAAAATTTAAAGTAAATATAATAAATATTTATAAAAATGACAATGTTTTCTCAGTACGATAGTTCAGCTAAAAGACCGTTGTTTTATCATCGTTTATCTCTATAACAAAAGCAAAACCAATGCTTCTGCTGGAAGAAATATATAAGAAAACAGGTACATTTAACCGCGCGCGCGCGTACAAAAGAAAATAATAGAACTGTCTATAATAAAAGGACTTAGAACCTTTGCAGCTGAGAGAAAAGCTCAAAATTGAACAAGCACAAGAGAATGGCAGTGTAACTCGACTGAGAGAAACTTTCGTCTCGCGGAAGTCAATGTGCAGTTTTTAATTTTCTTCCGCGCGAAGTTCAATTTGACATTTTTACTCACTTTTCGGCACATCTTATACTACGAAACAGTAAGATTACCTTCCACAGAAATATACGCTCGTGATTCGTCGGGCTGAATGAACTAATTACATCGGGCGAGTCAGAATGTCAAGGAACACTTTAATCCCGTCTTATATTCACGGCGTTGCTTAGGGTCCCTCACGAACCGAATGGAGCTACTTTTCCTTCTCCCTCGCGCTACCCTACATTCGAATTATTTATTTCGTCGCCCCTCGTGCGCGCATATCGCTGTGCCAATTATACGTCCGTAATTGCTGGCAATTAAGAATCCGTTACTATTCGCCTTTATTTTCCCTTTAGCTTCTGTCATCTCTCTCTCTCTCTCTCTCTCTCTCTCTCTCTCTCTCTCTCTCTCTCTCTCTCTGTTTTTCTCTCTCCCTCTATCCTTCCCCCTCCCTTTCTCTCTTTCTCTCATTTGCCTGCCCAAATGTCACCAACTTGTTTGTTAACGAGCACTTTCTCTGCGTCGCGTCGCTTTTCCTTCTTCCGACGCGTTTCGACACTCTACCTTGAAAGTCATCTCCACCATTACGATATTTCAGGCGGCCAGGTGAGAACTGCAACTTACCGGCGTGTTTTCTAGGCTTTTATACCGGTTCGCGCTCGGCATGTACACGCGTCCACGCATACACGTGCGTGCGTCCGCGCCCGGTTCCGGTACCGGCGTGCGTTCGCGCATCTGTGCGAGGATAAACTTCCGCGGCAGGAAGGTAAACGCGCCGCACCGAGAGACATTCAAATGCGCGATGGTTAGCAAATGTTTAGAGTAAATAAATAACATTGGATACAGGCAATAAAGCTATAAGACAAATTTAATTTTGTCACTGCAGCCTCACTCGCACAAAATGATCGTAAGAGAAGTCAAAAGATTTAGTACATAGTGCTTTAGCAATATGCGTAGAAAATATTTACTTGACGTATGTGTCCATACGCCAGCTTTAAAGATAAAGATGCACAAGACGTAATAGAAACAGATATTTGTTTCAAGCAAATAAAAACAAGTATTTGTTTCAAGTAAGAATTTTAATTCAGTCCGTTTTTATAAAAGATGTACTTATATTGTACTCTCTTCGTGGAATGAATTTTTATTCTAAACGAGTGAAAAAACATAAACAACAGTGAAAATACTGGAACTTCTAATCGAGTGACATTACGCGTTTCACAAAAGTGAATATTTCTCACTCAAACTACAAAGTAAATCCTTATTCTACACGAATGAATTTTTCACACAATTGTAATAACTGTGCATTTCACATAACTCTAACACATAAATATTCTTTTTTATTGCATTATTTTTAAAAATATTCATGATATTTTGTCTGCAATCTTCTCGATTATGTGCCATTTAACCTTTTTCATCACATTCTATTTGAAAAACACGCTTACCATCTAGTCGAGAATCAAAGCCGAATTTATAGTTTTGAGTCTACTACAATTTATATGTAGTTTTAAAACAGAACTTTATTTATGTTTTGTAATAAAAGTACAATATTATCAATCTTTTAACATGCTATTAATTATATTTATAAACGACACGAAGTAACCTATTAAGTAACCTTTTAAGATATTTTTATTTAAATATACGATTCTTAAGATTTAATCAATTATGCTGAAAAAAGTAACACAACAGCGACATGACGGTTATATTAAGACATCTGCTTTTTTGTAATATAGACTGTTAGAGTCACTGTAAAAGTGAGATGTCACTCCACAATTCGGATGACTCGGCTGTCACTCCATTTTTCGAGTGAAATTTCACTCCAAGAAATTTAGAGAGTACGTGTCTGCTTTCTATTTGGACACTGTCTTAAGGTATTTATAACATAGGATTATGTATTATATATTCAACTTTGATTTGAAATACAATTTTAATGAAATATCAAAGTGAATGACAAAGATGTCGATAACTTAGAGCCGATTATTACTAACATGAACACGTTATACTTTCCGTATTGTACATATAGATGTTATATGTGTTGCTTTATTTTATCATATTTGACAGAAACTCTATGTATAGGTATATAGAAATTCTTCTGCAAACTTCTCGTATATTTTTAAGCTTCTAAGTTTAGTTGTAAAAGTATAGTAATGTTCTTTGAAATTTTCCTGAGCAAAGCAAATACGTACAAGTTACAGAATTCTTGTATCAAGCAGAAATTTATGCTAAATGACAGCTCGAATTGCTGATTTCGAAATTGTCACATTTGTCACATATTGAGGAGTACTTCGATTAATTTTTGCGCGTACTATCATTGTATAATGGTATTTGTAGTTATGTGGAATTAATATACGATGTAAACTTTGCAGAAAAAAAATTAATATTTCCTCGGTAAAGTTCTCGAGTATGGCGTCCTCTTAAAGAAGATAAATACATAATGCGACGAAAGAGAGAGTTTTAGAAATATTTTAAATACGTTACTTTAATAGAATGTGAATAACTTTTCTTTTCATATTTTTTCCAATCAAGCGCAGTTCATTATATCCTGCCTGGGGTATGAGGAATTCTATTGACAGTCCTGTTACACGCGTTCCACTCCGCAGGACTCAGCACGAGTTCCAAATGGCGTTTCACGATGACTCGCTATGGCATAAAACCTATTACGTATTAATAGACAGCGCTTCTTCGCGCAGCGCGAATTGAAAAATGATGCAGTAGATCGCATATGATCGTTTCCTTCCTCTTAGCCAGCGTCGCGAATGACTTCCTTCTTCCCGTGAGTTACATGATGCACTATTGCCGCTTCCTTCAATAAGCAATGCTCCTCTCATCTGAGAGGACCGACTCGTCTCAACTTAGACTTTTAAGTCGGGAATGAGATCAACGTGAAAGACGCGAAGCGTCAACTCTGGTGGCATAATCATACATAAATAACCCAAATGTTGAATACTAAAAGCTAAAGCTAAATGTTGGGTACTAAATACTAAAGTCTGAAAACATTGTAAATTTAACAGTAAATTTCGCAGCTTAATTAAAGTAAAAAATCGTCATTGAGCGTATCAAAGACGTAAAAATCTTCGAGTTATACGCGATCAATGTTCGCCAGTGATATCGTGCAGATTCCGCGCACGGAACAACGCGCACCGATTTATCATCCATTATTCATTCTCTCGCGGCTTAGATGATATTCATTTTTGCAGTTTAACTTTTGATTTTTATCTTTTACTTCCTTATGCGTAGCTACTACGCTAACGGCACGCTAGCAATGTCGGGCTGCGCGTTTTTTCTTTCTCTCCCTTTCCCCCTCTCTCTTTCCTCCCTTCTCTCCTTTTTTGTTTAACAATTCGCATTTCATATTTGCGCAGCCACGTCGACGTTAAACTCAGGCAGCTGACATGGGTTTTTTCCTCGCTTGTAGCTTAAAACGCGCTCCGAGAGATACGGCTTTCACGAAAGAGAGCCAACCGGAAGTTGGCTGGCGCTGGATGGAAACGTCTCTTCTGCCTTCTTCGCCCGTAACGACAAGAAATATCGAGTCGATATATCGCGAAAATTCTTTTTACCTTTTCTCCGTCGCGTGATACAGAAGGGAAAAGGGCGGGACACGGTATTAAATCATATTCGCGCATGTATAAAGCGGATTTCCCTTTAATTCAGCGGAGATTTTCGATCCGCGCCGATGATTAGCGCCGTTCGCTGCAGCAGGGCCAGTGGATTAAACGGTCTCGCATCCTGTACTACGGAAAATATCCGTGTGCAATTTGTCTATATTCATAAAATAACAAACGAAGCGTCGTATATAGAATTCGGTGTAAATCCGGCGAAACAACTTGGTGCAAGCGCGCAGCATGGAATTAACGAGCTATCGTTTATGCATTATATCGGACGAACTAATAATATAAGTACCATTATGGCATATTATTATCGTAAATGCCCATTACTCGCGAACGCATAATTCGACCGGCGGGATTTACGGCGACGTCCAATAAGGTGCGATGAAGAGTAACGATCGACCCCGCCACATTTGATAACCCGATTAATGGACTACGCAATGATAATAATCGCGAAGGGAAATATACAGTCGCCGGCATTTGCTCATACGCCGCTAATTGGATTTTCTTTGTGAAGAAATCCCGCGAATACGTATTAAAGGCCACTGTTACACGCCCGACGACCCTTTGGAACGATACGTATTGTGCGAGGACGAGGGCGAGGACGAGGACGACGGTAACGGCGGGCGGTGTGTTACGAGTCTGTTTCTTCACCGAATATAAATGTGTTCAATTACGCGCGGGCGCATACGTGGGAGAACGGTCGTATTTCTACTGTACTATATAGGGTGTCCCACTTTAATTGCGCACCTCAAATATTTTTAAAGCAGTATGTTATACACGGAAAAAGAAGTTAGACAATAATTCAAGTCTGGATAATAGTTTCCAGATACTTCGGTGAAATAATCTTAACGCGCAGATGAATATGACCAATTTAGTAAATTTTAACAAATAATTTTATCAAGGTTTAATATTTGTTGCCGAGGCTTGGCAACTATTATCAATTTATGTAGTATATATTACCAAACAATTTGTGAAATAAAACTGTATTGTTTAGTAATGTTAGCTACATTATATGTTAAATGTGCGAAATAACCAAAAATAACGTAATAATAGACAAACTATTTAATAATTAATATCAAATTATGTGAAATTACTTGCCAAAACATTTAATTCAACTAAATGAAGAATTCGTTTTATTAATTATTTTGTTTAATTAGTACTAGAAGGTTGGTAACTATTACCATATTTGATATTAATTACCAAATATTGGATTAACGCTCAACCAGATGAATTTGTTAAAAATCATAAGACTTCAGTATAAAAAAAATATGTCAAACAAAAGTTGTATGGTTTAAAGGAGGAAAAAAAACGGTAATATTCATTCAAACTTGAAATATCTTTGAAAAGATTTGGCAATTTCAATTTTTTAAGTGGGATTATATAGTTTTTCCATTGTAAATAAATAATTTTCTCTGATTATACATATTCTGCGCATAAAAATATTGGAATGAAAGTAATTATCGTGAAGTATCGTAAAGTAATACTTTCCGAAATGTTTATATTTTATTTTGATAGCTTCTAATACACGACATTTCTATTTCTACTAAAATATTCACTTTTTGATAATCTTATCTTGATAGTATGTAGAATTTTTATATGTAAAATGATGGATAAAATAATGGATAGAATCAATTATGTTGTAAAAAACATAGAGAAACTCTAAACAAAGTTCTGTGGCATTTTGTAGATTCATTGATACACTAAAGTGCAGAAATTAATATCACTGATCAATTTCTCTCGTTATTATACGTGAAAAAATATTTAAAGGAGATCGTCAAAAAATACATAGCTTACGAGATATTTTATATCTTGCGCTACAGTTTATCTAGACGGAAAATAATATATCTGGATGTAAAATATCTCAGAAAGTGTTCATTTTTCGATAATTTCCAGTACTTTTGTACATAAAATGAATAAAGGAATTGATTTGTATTAGAAAAATTATATGATGATATTGAAAAAATTATAGTTAATATTGACAGGTATTTCCAAAATTATTCCAAGGTCAA